ATCGTCTGTTGGTGCATCCAATGTAGTCCATTCTAGATTTCAAATTTTCGATGACGCGTGTCAGCATTTCGAGTTGCATTTGGCGATCATTATCGCGCTATGATATAGGATTAGAAAATGTTTCTTTCGACTGGATTGCGGATACTCTATGAACAGAGATGTGATCATACTGACCACTTTTTCACGACTTGACTCATTTGAACTGAGAAAGAGAAGACTCAAAAAATGACATGGAGAAACTCTATAAAACGAATTTCGCTTGCATATCGATAGTAGACTCAACCAAAAGAACAGTCGATTTTATTGCTCTGTTGATCATTTATTGCCAAACCTATCAGATTCTCATTAATGTTAATTTGACAGTTCCTTTGAGAACAATTGACTTGATCTTGAAAAAAACAGTTATATAATTTGATTATTAATTTGATAATGAATACGTTCTATTCTTAGCACAGCCTATGCGTTAGGAAAACAATTTCCATATTATTTTCGACAGCTTTAATAACGGTAAAATTAATACGATCACATTCAATGTTTATTATGGTTCCACTTGTGTTAGAAAAAGTATATCAATAGCTTCTGATATCTTGTAGTTGAGTTCAGTGGTGGAGTGGTTCTTAGGCCGTATCGTCAGTCATCCCTACAATTGTAGGGCGCCTTTATGACCTCCTTGATTTTCATAGTTTTCTACTTCTCCGTGTCAGAACTCTATTTTGAGGTTATGTCACAAACATCTAGAAAACATATCTTCACAATAGGAGAGCGCTGACGCTGACACGGGACAAGTGTAATCTAGAAGTTTTTGAAGGAGAGAAAGGAGTATGACAATCAAGGAGGCCATAAACGCGCCCTACAATTGTAGGGACGACTGACGATACGGGCCTTAGTAAAACATGTGTCTTTTATAACGGCGATCATTACAACTACCTCGAGTATTAAATACCATATCGAATCTTATTTATTTATGGAAGAAAATACCCCATAAAGCAAATAATTTGTTTTATTGGCTCTGAATTCGTTAAAATTCTATTTTTTCTGAATGTAAAAAGTTTTTTCGCAGTGCTGCAGTTTTCTCTATTATTCTTAGATATTTTCAAGAAGCTCTGTATACATAATGTATTTTCTAAGATGGTTTCATGCTAGGTGTGCCTTTCTCATGAGGTTGGTTAATTTTGGGACCGGAGCGCAAAAAAGCGCCTGGGTCACAGATTCAACTAATGAGAAGACGTTTTTGAATTAATGGATCTAATGAGTATGGTCGATTTCTTGTAAGATGTCTGTCAAACCTATAGAATCGTTATCTAGTTTGTGTAAGATGGTCTCTAATTCCCGTTTTAAGTCAAGAAATTAGTCAAAAATCACTTGGTTTAGCTACAAAAGCATCTTATTTTATTGGAGACCCAATACTCATCAGCGGCCATGGTCATAAAATGCACAGCGCTAGTCAGCTTGCGTAGTGGAAATGAGTCGCATTGGAAGTTATTCTTTGACTAATATTGATCTGGCAATTGATAAAAGTGTAATACCGTAATATGGAAACAGTTTACGGAATTCTGCGAGGCAAAGCAATACGAGTTTTTGGAAACAACAAGTTTAGAGCAACTAAGCCTTATCCTGAAAGATGGTCGTGGAATATGAAGAAAGAAAACGGTGAAAATTACAAAGGACTAGTTGTGAAGACAATGTGGAATACCGTTTCAAAAATGAGAGATGTAGGTATTTCATGACGTGAAAAATGATTTTTGATCCATTTAGACATATTATCTTAAAGAATTTGTAGATACTTAGAAATAGTCTTCTCGAATGCCATTCGGGCATCTCATTTTTTCCTGTGAAAAAAGTCGAAGAAACACAATGCAGAGTAATATTACGTGGCAACGTGTTTTTTCTATTTTTTTCTGAAAAAGATGCCCTTATGATATTACATATGAAAAACAATGTCTCACTTTGCTGTACAAAATTCTGCTTGGTAAATTGTTTGAGGACATAAATGAGATTACAGAATGCTCATTCTTTAACAAATATTCAATTTACTTGACTACTGGGCGAAAAATCCTGTTCCTGTTAATAGTACCTAACAGGGTTTTCCGCACGGATGTCAAGTAAATTGATTATTTACTCCATGTTTGTTAAAGAATGAGCATTTCTTTATTTTATTTGTCTTCAGACAATTTATTGAACATAATTTTGCAAAGCATAGTGAGACATTTTTAATGAAATGTCAATCTATTGTATCAAGTTGGACCATCTTTCGAGTAGGCCACAAATACTTTTTTTTCATAGGTCGAATTTGTGTCAACTTCAGCGTCTGGTCACGAATGAAAAATTGAGAGAAGATCTTCTCCACGTGAAGCGGATGTAGAAGGTTAGAAACGACGTTCCGGTTGTCCCCAATATTGTTTCTCGTTAAAAAAAAAAGTTTAATATGTTTCGGGTGTATCGATTTGGAGTGTTAACACCTAACGATGGTATCCGTCGTTACCAATAAGCCCAATGTGTCCGTCCGATTAGTTTTATAATTGTAACAAGTGCCCTCAGCCTCGCGTTCATTTTGAAACACCATTTGGCTGCAACCTCAACGACGACTCGTGATAAAGGTTCCATAGAGAACTGCCGAAAGCTAGAGATTACCATCAAAAGAGTTAACTAAAGCCTAAAAAGTTTGTCATTTTCCCCATTAACAGTTAATTGTATTTTTGCCCAACTAGTCGTTGGCAATGGCAATGACTACTGCTCATATATATATACGAGCCCCTTCCCCCTTCAGTTGGCCCACTTTGTACCAAAATATGCCTTTATAAACTAAACATGACGAAACTATTTACTTCTAAAACAATTTATTTTCTCAAAAACATTTTAGATACACTCTAGTCGTGAAAAATACATATTTGAAATCACTTAGAGCTATAACTAACATCTGAACAACTAAACAATGTGCGAATAAATGCGCGAAGTTAACAAAGCAACAATTGAAAGATTACCATTGGCTAACATCACCTTTATTTTTTATTACGGCTGAAATTCTTTGGGGCATAGTGTTAATCAAGTTTTGGCAAAAATTTGGTGTGAAACAATCCCAGATTTCTTGAAGCTTTTGTCTCAGTTCGGTGATTGTACGAGCAGGATGTTGTCGTAGAACCTTCTTCATCTCGTGCCACACAGTTTCAATAGGTGACAGATCTGGACTACTAGAAACCCATTTCAAAAGTGGTACATTATTATCTTCAATCCATTTTATAGCCTTTTTTGAGGTATGGCACGCTGCACCATCTTGCTGAAACACAAAATCTTGGCCGGATGTCCAACATTCTTCCATCACTGGTAAAAGCGATTCTTCTAAAATTGCCAAATATTTGTTTGTATCCACATTTCCATCAATAAAATAAAGTTTTCCTGCTCCTTTTGATGACATACTGCCCCAGACCATAATGGATGCTGGAAATTTCACTTTTCTCTTCAGACAGTCATCATGGAATGCTTATTTTTTTTGCGAATAACTCTACTGCGACTGTCACCAACACAAACTTCGAATCGGGCCTCATCACTCCATTGTATTGCACACCATTGTTGAGGTGTCCATTGTCTATGTTCTTTAGCCCATCTAAGCCAATTTTTCTTTTGCAGTGGAGTTAATAGTGGCTTTTCTTTGGCCTATAAACAAGTTATGCAACTTTAGGGTTTTTACTTCACTTTTTTTATAAGGAAACTTACCTTGCAAGTGCTAAATCCCAGTTTGTGGGCCTCTCTATGAGTTGTGAACCTCGAAATTCTTCTTCCAACAGCGTCACTCCACAGAGCACTTAATTGTAAATAATTGGCACGCCTGTTTTTCACGATTATTCTTCTTACGAGGGATGTCTTTTAAGTTTTGCATATTGAAATTAAACAATGCGGTAGGTAGTTTTAAATGACTTTATTGTATTTCGAACTATTCTCTACGAAGATTAATACACATCTGCATGCGCTCGAACCAATTTTCGAAGCACTTATTCCACTCGTTTGCTGGCAGATCCAAAACGGCATTTTTGAACGCGTCAACTGCTTCTTCTGGTGACTGGAACCTTTGACCACGCAGTCTATCTTTAATTTTCGGGAAAGTAATGAAATCGTTAGGACTTAGATCGGGACTATATGGAGGATGGTCCAATAATTCCACATTTCCTTTCGTTAAAAACTGCCTTGTTCTTTGGGCTGTGTGCAAGCTTGCATTGTCGTGGTGGAGGATGATTCTTCTTTCGAGGTTGATTTTTCGAAGTTCGGTGATGACTTTTGGCAAACAAATGGTGGTATACCAATCCGCAGTAACAGTTCTTTTCTAATTAACCCATTAATGCCCAGAATTATTTTTTTCTGGCGTTTCACTTAATCTTTTGATATGTTATCATTATTTGGTAACATTTTCATATAAAATTCTGATTTTATAAAAATTATGGTTTTGAAGTAGTTTTTTTTGATGTATGATAAATCATACGCTGGGCTACAGTTAGATGAAAAAAAGTCAAAAACAATGGTATATCTAATATATATTCAAAGAAACAATTATAGAATAATACATCCATAAAAAGCCTAAAGATTACTTCTGGTGATATTGTCGGAAACATTTATCTGGATGTAGACCTATATTGCATTTTACACAGGAAAATTTTGTACATTTTCCACATTTTCCACAACGACGCTGCGTCTCCTGTCGGTCAATCCAGTGCTCTTTTCCATCGTATCGAACTTCTGATAGAACCTTACAGGATAGTTTTGGTTTTGGACCAGTATTTGAGTTTGAAGGTGGCGCAGCTAAAAGCGCTAGGACTACTCTTCTACGAAATTCAAGGAGTGATATAGATTCATTCCTTGATAGAAGTGCCTGACGATATAAATACCACATATTGACAATAGATCCGTCCAGGCAAAACCGAATCAACGGCCAGTACCATTTTTTCGACCTAATCCTAGATCTATACAAGCCTCTCATTTTTTCGAATCGATCGACACCTCCCATTCCTTTATTATATAAATGTATATAAATGTACTAGAGACGGTTGATCAACTTGGATAGCAGATTTGTCCTTCTTCGACCATCGTTTACACGAGCCTTTCGTCTGGTAAAGGGTTTTGTCTTGTACATTTGATATAACAGTAACTTGACTATTGTCATGCCAACGTGTCAATGTTATGTTGGATGTTGAGTCATGAATTGTGTAGTGACTACCCCTATTATCCTTTTTTAAATCTTTGAGAGGAGCTTTCTCTACTCGATCTGATCTTACCGTACCCACACAGTATAGTTTATTAGCTGTTAGGGTTTCTAATAGAGGAATAGAGGTAAAATAGTTATCTAGGAAAATGGTACTATTTTGTTCTAAAAAATTTAGGCACAGTTTCTCAGTTACACTTGAGCCAAGTGATTTGCCTTCTATTTTGTCTCCTGCACCGGTATAAACATTAAATTTGACGAGATATCCATCATAGGTACATAAACACCAGAATTTGAAGCCAAAGCGTATGGGCTTTCCTCTAATGAATTGCTTCATATGATGTCTCCCATAATAAGGCTCCATTGCCTCATCTACAGATACGTACTTTCCTAATGGAGAAATACATTCCTGTGATATTTTATTTAGGCGGTCGATCAAGGGTCTAATCTTATAAATTTTATCATTCTTATCAATTTTACTGTTATCATTCAAGTGAAAAAATCTGTGGATAGTTTCAAACTTGTTTCTTGACAACGCGTTTGTAACTAGAGGGTTATTGGTATCCATTTGTGTTTCCCAGTAGCAGCGTTTGGAAGGTACTGGACTATACCCAGACAAGAGAATTATAGCTAGATATTTATAGATATCTTCAGCTGTGACTGAGAAACCATGAAATCCCTTCTGGTCGGCATATCTTTTTGTTTCTATACACATTGTGGTGATTATGTCTTCACTAAAAAAAACTTTGAACAAATCGATCGGCGCCATATTTCTCTCTAATATATCGGTAAGAATACAGGGAGTATTTTCCTTTAGTAACTCAATTCGCTGTTCTCGTGGTTCAAGGGTTATTTCTTGCCATGCTCTATTGACTTTTTGTGTACTTTTTCTGACAGAAGGAATTTGAATTTTCAGTCTTTTCTGCTTATCAGCCAGGGTTTCATCATCACTCTCTTCCCAGTTCTGGTCACTTGGTCGGATTTGTAGAGGAGACTGAATTCCAGTTTTGATTGGAGATTTCTCTTTATTCTTGTTAACAGCAAAAACATCTACTTTCTGAGAGAGAATACCCTTTCCCAGATCTCTGATACTAGGTACCATATCGTCATCACTGTGAGCATCATCTTGGTCGCTGTCCATGGCATCGTCGGGAGGAACTAACGCGACTTCTAAGCTCTCTGCACTTTGAAACTGCTCATGAGCTTCATCGTCTGAGTCCACGCTGTGGAAGTAGTTCATCAGGTCCTCCAAGTCCTTTGAATTCTCTGGATTATACAAAGTTTTCCTGTAAAATATAGTGAATATTAAATAATAATAATAATAATAATAATACCTACTGTGGACCAGCGTATGATATATCATACGTGACACAAAAAGTCTCGAATCAATGGTAAATTAAAATTTTAACATTTGTCGAAAATGGAAATACTTGGAGCAATCCCCAAGGCACAGAAACGGACAAAGTAAACAACAAATAAAACAACTGATTTCATGGAAATAATGAATAACTTACCTGGTACTCATTCCGATGGTGAATGTGAACCTCTCGTTCTTATAACAGATCACTAAGCCATATGGGTCATAATAGAACTGTATTGCAATGTTGTATTATCAATATTAGACCTATCTACACTCAAACATTTGCATAACCGCTCGCTATGCCGCTAACGCAAGATATAACATAACCTCAAATGGCCACGTGTTTTACGTATGATGAATCATACGCTGGGAGCTACTGGGTTAAAAGGAATTGTTGCAGTATGACCCGCTTTTGACACAAATGTCGCGACCATCTTTTTCGGAAAACTTCGAGAACGGATGACTTTTGTTGGCTTTTCTTCACCTTGGAACACCCAAACAGCCGACTGTCGTTTATTTTCTGGTTCATAACAGTAAATCCACGATTCATCACCACTAAGAATCCTGTACACATTTTTTGAGTTTCCGAAATTGAATCGATCAAGCGTTTTTGTCACCAATTAACCCTGGCTGCTTTCTGCTCTTCAGTTAACAGGTGGGGTATCCAACGAGAAACTAATTTTCTTACTCCTAATTCTTCATATAAATTTTTTTGAACTGAGGTCTTTGAGATCTTCAAGGACGCCTCAATCTCGCGATATGTCACATAATTTGATTTAAATAATGTCAGTGGTCTGTTAAACATCAAATTATTGGATACGTCCATCCACAAATATAGGAAACACGATGCCAGTCTTTCGGTGAAATGTATGAGATGCTCCGAAGACTTCGCACCAATTTAGGATTTGATCATATTGGAAGTCAGTGTCCCAGATCAAACTTCTTTCATTTGTAGGCTCATGGACGAAAACGAAAGTTTTGCATGAAATAAAAAATTAAAAACACACAAGGCCAACGATGAAATTGACAGGAGGCCTCAAAAGGCTCACTATCCCATTACAAATAGAATTTATAGCACTTCAGAGTGAATTGAAAGTGATATCAGAAATCAACATTTCAAAAAATCCCAGTACAACGAGATCTGTTGCGAAAGGCGAAAATAGATTTGTTGCATTGAGAAACCTTGAAACTTTAAATAAAGTAAAATTATCAACAACTTTACCGATCTGCGATATCCACTAACACTCTTCTAAAGGGTAAATCATATGCGTGCATCATTTGATGATAATTTTCTGCTGAGACGACATTTTAGAATTCATTAGTGTCGCTATATCCGAAATCGGCGTTTCAAAGATCTATAAGCCCATATTTTTTTTAATTTAAATATTTTAGATAGTTTTTTTATACCTTCATCAACATTTTTAGTTTCATTTTAGTACTTGATTGTACCTTAAAACCCCCAAGTTCGCAAATTTGACATCTCATAATTGCATATTGGTTTGTTTCAACTTTTGTTTTTATTGCGAGTATAGTAGAACAAAATATTCATTGTTGTCTTAGTGTGCCTTAGTGTGTTTTATTGTAAATTTGAAGTAGACGTGCTCAAATAATAATAATACTAAGTTTTGGACGAAAAATGCTAGAATTGCTTTTTATGTTTATTCAAGCACTAAAATAAATAAAAAAATTGTCGACGAAAGTTTATAATAGTTATGTACAATATCTAAATGCAAAAAATTCTTAGATATTGTCCATGTGAAATTTATTACTTATTTATTTCCAAAGCTGAAAACTCAGTTTATAGGCACCCTATTTCTGTGAACATTTGGAAATGCATAGTTTAGAACGCAGAAGGAAGGTTTAATCTGCCATATTACTTGTTAAACTGCTAAATCAGGGCAGCAGCGGTGGCCGCAGTAGTAGACTCTTCGGTCTCCTGATCAGTCGCCGTGCGCTGTGCGGGTTCGAGTCCCGTCCCAGGAGAAATTTTTCTCTTGGCTATGGATGTTGTGATTGTCCGTAGGTGGTAGATGGTCTCTGACTGTCGAACGCGGAGGTACCACCCGGCGGTTCTCGTAGGCGGAGCCAGAATGTGTGCATGTTGCATGCCCACGTGTTCCGTCGTCAGAGTCCGTGTAGCGTCCCCCCCTTTCCCAGGTATCCCCCTATAGCCCCACGGTACCCAATGGGTGCTTAGGCCTTAGGCCTTCGTGGTAGTTGGAATATAAAAAAAAAAAAGAAAAATGTCTCTCTTCAATGATGAGTTTGCGCACAGCATCGACGTTTTCCTGGGTGACTGCCGTTTTTGGTGCATCCACCCTGGGATCGTCGCTAAGACTCACCCGTCCACGTTTGAATTCTCCATACCAACGGGAAATTGTCGACTGATGTGGCGCTTGGTTGCCGAAAACAGACAGTAACTCAGCAAGGCATTCTTGTTGCTATGATTGTCTCTGAAAGTTGTAATAAATTATGGCGCGAAAATGTTCTCGGCTGAGTTCCATTTTTCTAATGACTTGGTGACACTTAAAAATTCACTGTAGTGAGAACATTGCACGTATGGTTGTGAAACTTTGAATTTAAGTTTACTAAAGAGTGAGGTTACGATTCAGTGCTGACGTTCGATCCGCGCGGCCTACTACTATGTTTCTATATTAAAAACTTAAGAGACATCCCTCGTAATGCTCTTCGGTCGGCATTTGTGATATTACTTTTTTTCACATATCGTGGCTTAATATTAACTGAACCAGTTTCGTTATATCTTCTAACTATATTTCTCACACTGTATCGCGATAAGTCTAACAAAGTTGCAATTTCTGAGTTTGATTTCCCAGAATTAAAAAATTTAATCATCAGTAACCGAATTTTCTCACTAATAACCTTTCCTCTTCCCATTTTGAAAACTTAACTACCCAAAACTATTTTAAACGTATTCTGACAGCTGTGATTAATGAAAACAATTGCCATGGCTTTTATTTTTCACAGCCACCTATGTGTTATAGACTTATTTTGCATTGAAATGAAAATAGGTAGATATGCTGTAATTGCAACATGTGTTATTTTTATGGTGCAAATTTGATTAGGGAGTGATAAAGTTGGTGTTTTCTACTATATATTATCAAAATATTCATTGTTAATATTTTAAAACTATAACACCCTGTTACATTTTTATTATTTGTGTTTGATAAGAAAAAACTATGATTTCAATAGTTGGGCCAACTGAAGTGGGAAGGGGCTGCTTAAGAAGAAATGTTCCAATATTATTCAGTTTAAAACTAAATTGAAAGAATTCCTTGTATATAAATGTCATTGTGCCATCTCAGAACTTGTTTGCTCATAATTGTTATCTTGTTTGTTTTATACATTTTTATTTAATAATTATTTTTAGTCATGTTGGCTGTTGAACCCTATGCATGTATTTCATTGTCTAAAGCAGGGTTTCCCAACCTTTTTCTTTTGTTGAGGCTCCCCGGACTATAAATTATATTTTCCCCCCCTTTACTTTTTCAATAAATACAAAAAAACGCGTATTATATAGGTACAAAGACTTTTATTTTAATTCTAATAAAGAAACTATTGACATCAAGACAATTTCGCTGTTTAGTAGTAATTAAAACTAGAGCAGAAAAGACTTCCTCACATGACTAAGTTGAAGAAAATGGAACTAGTAGGTATTCGTAAAGCAAGAGAGGCAGTGTCGAATTAACAGGCAATCTTTTGATCCAAAATTTCTCCAGTATTGAGAGATGGATGAATCATTTCTAGAAGTTTTTCCTGAACTTCTTCTGGTAATTGTGACACATCGACAACAAATGGATTTCTTGTCATCTACCATATTGGTTACTCTGAATTGATGTATCGGCGAAATTCGTCTTCCAGCGCTTGCAAATGAATTTTTATGTCAGCTTTTAAATTTGCGTCCAGTATGTTAATTGCTTGGGACAGCCGAGAAAAATATATAGCATTTTCAGAAGACACCTTTTGATTCCAAAGTTGAAGCTTTGATATGAACCCCTGAATATAATCATAATTGCTTATTATGTTGTTGTTTCTGCCCTGAGGTTTCAAGTTTAGCTCATTCAAGGAGTCAAATATGTCAGTTAAATAAGCCAACGTCAATTGAAACGTGTCATCTTTGAACATTGTCAAGAAATCGCGTTTTTCTTTGAACTCATGAAAAAGCATTACCTCTTCTTTCAATCCATACAGGCGAGCCAACATGTTGCCTTTGGACAGCCAGCGTACTTCTGTATGGAACAGAAGAACTTTGTGATCAGAATCGAGATCCTCGCAAAGTACCTAAAGTAAATAACCGACTGTTCAAAGCGCTGCTGTTGATGTAGTTTACAATCCTTATAGCCGAGTCCAAAGTCTGGCGTAATTTCTGTGGCAATGTTTTGGAAGCCAAAGCTTGCCGATGAATAACACAATGTGTACTAACCATTGCGGAAGTTTTTTCCTTGAGCTCTTTAGCTAAGCCCGATCGTACACCTATCATTGCAGGTGCGCCATCTGTGCAAAGTCCGAAGAGTTTCTTCCAATCCAAATAATTTTTTTCACAAACATTTGATATTGAATTAAATATATCTTCAGATGTAGCACCTGCTCCTGGTATAAAGGATAATAAATAATTTGAACTTGAACAAAATCTTAAGTTTCGATAGATAATTTTTACTGTGTATCCGGTTTTCGTACATCTTCAAGCGGGATATTTGGAAATTATTTCTTTTAACAATACTTTGCGACTATCATATAAACTTCATTTGGACAAAAATATACTTTTTAACAGTAGACTCCTGCTATGCACTGTTATCAGCCTTTCTTTATGTTGGTTTGAATGCAAAAACAACTTGTAAAACATAATATCTAACAGACAGACAATTTGTAACCCAATAACAACGTATTCTCCGGAGACCTTCCTAATAAAGTCCCGTATTTTTTATCATCATAAAATGAAGTGACTACCAGACCTCTTGCCTGAGAGAGAGAAGATATTTGAGAATACCGAGAACTTGGTACAATAAACATAAAAATTATTACGCATAATTTAGGGCATTACAGTAATAACTGTAGTCAATAGAACATCTGTTTTATAAGCAATAAGCTCAATATCTAACGACGACTCGGGCCTTGTAGTTTATAGAGCGTGTAGGTATAATGGGAAATTTTAGGGTTTAT